AAACTAAACTAACTTTATTTATACTCGATAGCTCTATCAGTTCTAAAATGTTCTTCCTAGAGGTCCAGTAAGGATCATCTCTTATTGATCCAGTGTTACTACAGGAGGAAACCTAAACTAAACTAACTTTATTTATACTCGATAGCTCTATCAGTTCTAAACTGTTCTCCCTAGAGGTCCAGTAAGGATCATCTCTTATTGATCCAGTGTTACTACAGGAGGAAACCTAAACTAAACTAACTTTATTTATACTGGATAGCTCTATCACTTCTAAACTGTTCTTCCTAGAGGTCCAGTAAGGATCATCTCTTATTGATCCAGTGTTACTACAGGAGGAAACCTAAACTAAACTAACTTTATTTATACTGGATAGCTCTATCAGGTCTAAACTGTTCTCTGCAGAGGTCCAGTAAGGATCATCTCTTATTGATCCAGTGTTACTACAGGAGGAAACCTAAACTAAACTAACTTTATTTATACTGGATAGCTCTACCACTTCTAAACTGTTCTTCCTAGAGGTCCAGTAAGGATCATCTCTTATTGATCCAGTGTTACTACAGGAGGAAACCTAAACTAAACTAACTTTATTTATACTGGATAGCTCTATCAGTTCTAAACTGTTCTCCTAGAGGTCCAGTAAGGATCATCTCTTATTGATCCAGTGTTACTACAGGAGGAAACCTAAACTAAACTAACTTCATTTATACTGGATAGCTCTATCAGTTCTAAACTGTTCTCCCTAGAGGTCCAGTAAGGATCATCTCTTATTGATCCAGTGTTACCACAGGAGGAAACCTAAACTAAACTAACTTTATTTATACTGGATAGCTCTATCAGTTCTAAACTGTTCTTCCTAGAGGTCCAGTAAGGATCATCTCTTATTGATCCAGTGTTACTACAGGAGGAAACCTAAACTAAACTAACTTTATTTATACTGGATAGCTCTATCAGGTCTAAACTGTTCTCTGCAGAGGTCCAGTAAGGATCATCTCTTATTGATCCAGTCTTACTACAGGAGGAAACTGGAGTACTCGGAGAAAACCTGTGATCTTTGGACGCACCTGGATCAACTGGACGCACTTTTATCCCTGGATGCAACAAACCCTGGTCACAGAGACATACACAAAGGTTATGACCCACCTGTCGTTGAAATGTACCATCAAGTGCGGCAACAATTACAGTTTTTCCTTTGTTTGCCAGTTCTTCACAGAATTCAACAATATCTGAAAACTATGGCAAAACAGTAATACATTTTCATACTTACACGTATATGTAATACTCGTATTTATTAAACCCAGCACAAAACTTACAAATTGTCCTTCATCAATTCCAATTATATTATAATTCATAGCTTGCTTTTTGATATTTGACAGTTTATGACATGGCACAGCTGCCATTCTTTGCCTGGAAATGGAGTGATATAATAAATAATTATTTATTATCTCTATCAGATTTAGACTGTTCTCCCTATGAATTAAACTGTTCTCCCTAGACAAAAGGGTTGTTCATTATCAGTAATGCAGCCCAGTAAAACAAGGTCGGCATTCGGCAATGCCAACCTAAATGCTGACCTATCAACCTCCCAGGTCGGCACGTTTTTGCTTAATTCAGCCAAAGTAAGAATTTTTTGTGCTGATTGCTGTTGAAAAGTCAAAGTTTAAAAATTGACAGGTATTCTATATATATATATATATAATTTAGGTAAGACTCCAAAAGAAAAGCTGTCGTGTTACTGTAGTTTGCGTTTCCATGGAAAAAGGCATGCTTTATATTCCGATTTCAATGATTCGCAAATACGTGATTACTAGTGCTCCAAGACATGGAAACAGATTTTAAAAAAATGCCGAGATGTGCCAACCTAGGTCAGATTTAGGTCAGCATTTTTTTGCCAACCTCGATTTTGACGGTTTTCGAGGGCTGTAATGAAATTACTGCAGGTTTTGAGTGAAAACAGAAGCACTCTTCTTATGTGTGACTGAGGAACAATTCTACTCTGACAACTGCATAATTTAGGACCTTGTTCACCATCACAGAGATGAAAGATACACCCGCTGAACACTGTGTGACCAATACCTCGTTAATTCACCATAACGAACTTACTGATCATGCG